TATAATTTTTTTTTAAAGACTGATATATAATTTCAAGAACACACATCCCGGTTGGGGCAATTTTTTCGCCTTTGAATGCATTTTCTTGTGTTTTTGTTTCTTTAAATATTTATTAGATTTTATTTCAGTTGTAAAACTGCCAGTTGTATATTATTATGAATTTGTGAATAAAGAAATCCGTGTATTAACTCTAAGGTCTACTAATGCTTGATCTCGGTTACAAATTCCTTTTTGCAGAACTCTTATAAAAATTTAAAATATATATATATATATATAAACAATAAATTTTAAAATCGATAGTATAATGTACAACTGTTAATTTGTAAATCTGATTACTGCTTTGTTGATTTTTAATGTTCTATAAATTCTAATTGTTTTTATTGTATTCTTTGTGTCTTTTTTCTTTAAATATTAATTTGATTTTATTTCAGTTGTAGGCTATATTATTTGTGACTAAAGAAATCCGTGTATTATACTGAATAATTAAATAAATCTTAACGTTTTGTGTTATTACATACAGTTTGATTTGATTTTTATCAAATAAAAAAATACGGAAACTGGCTTTTGTAGCCTACTGTCTCAATGTTTTATATCTACTAAGAATCGTAAGTTACAGTTATCATAATTTCAGGCAGAAGGGAATTCAATTTCATATTTTTATGGTGACCTAGCATTTGTACTGTTTACGTACGGGCACTCAATGGCTGTGTGTCCATTGTTGTTTTAAATTCACCCATGCAAACAAAGCAAGGGATAGTTTGTATGACCTCCTTTTAGAATTGCATTGCAACTTGACGCGGAAATCCCCGACAAAGAATTCAATTGTGCTTAGTGGACCATTTCTCTGTAGGGCCTTTGTGGATACCCACGGGGGGGGGGGGCTTTGACCCTGGACCTCGTAGAAACCTTACCCCTGCTCTCTCGTGTCCTCCCCATCCCTCCCCGCGATGTAAACCTAATTCAGGCAAGGCAGTTCGCATGCTCAGAGAGAACAAGCTAATACTTTGTTAATATTTACACAAGGCGTACCTGAATGTTATATCCAGGGCCTCTCACTATTTACAATTTTTATGAATGATTTACCAAATCATGTGTTTGAGTGTTGTATGAATACTGTATGATAGACCTACTGCAATTTATTATGCAGGTAGGAAATTAAACGTAGGCCTATTGACAAACAAAAAGTATTGAACAATTTATTTTGTCTACCATCGCAATACACTGTATTATTAAAATACGAATTGTATAATTTGGTCATTATTAAATTAAAGCATAATGGGCTATTAACTTAAAGTTCTATTATAGCATTGCAAACCTGGGTGCTTGTCTGGGCCCACTCTAACATTTTCTCCTCTGTTATAATGCAAGAACAAACTTTTTCAAAAAATGTTTATTTTAGAAGTAAAAAAAACACCAGTATCAGTGCCACCGGTGCGGGGTCTGAGGGAAGAAAATCATGGAACCTTCGGCGGTTAATAGTAGAGAACACCAACATTAGCGGTCTCAGAGAGCATTCCGGGCGGGTTTTCTTTATATTGGTAAAAAGTCAAGTGAAGTGTTACAATACTTAAATTAAAACCTTCATGTTATTAAAATGGTCATGGTGGAACAAAATGTGTTGCGCCCTCAATAAACAAAATGTAGGATTTTTTACCTCAGAGTAAAGTGCTTATTGGAGGTTTTTTCTATATATATGGTATGCTGTCAATTCAACTGAGGCATTTACAATATCATGAATATTCTCGAGAATTGAAAGCAGAGCACGTGGAAAATATTGACATCAATAAGTTGAATAGAGTGAGTTATGTGAGCTCGGTGGGTTCTTGACTGTCGAGGTTTTTAATTTTCTATTTTCGATGGTTTCGAATTATAAATTTAGGTAATGATGATTGGAATGATTAATAAGAAATTTTAGGTACTAATTATTAGGTTATATTGTGGCACACAATTTGTAAAATACTTTATACAATGTTTCGTCTTAAATAAAACTATATTGTTTCGTCATGGCATGTAGGCTTATCAATGCAACATACATTTTAAGTTTACTGTAGGGCTATAGATGATCGGAACACTAGAGATGTGTCTAGTGCAACCTTGGACATTGTTATATAATGTATACATCGTATTATACAATTTCTCTTTAAGGTAACTGTTTGTTGAGGCAACGCACAATGAAGTGGGGATGGGTCATCGTGTTGTCCGGATTGATACAATATACAATGTTTCTGGGATTTTTATATAGCTATAATTTACTCAACATACAGCTGAAAGAGAGTTTCAACACTACAGCTACTAAATCTGGTAAGTTTTCATTAAACTGGAAATGGGGCCTACCACCAACGAATTAGGCGTAATTTTCTTTGAAGTGTGATGAATAATTGTGTCATCTGAGTCCAACGATCGAACTAACGAACAATGCCGGTACGACTTGATAAATGCAAATGGGTATATTCTATCCCAATCTCTAAATGCGAATAACATTATTTTATTACGATAAATGTCTTAGCTTTGGAAGAAGGTTTGCTGATAAATAACTTTTATATAGCTTTTTAATAGCTTTTATAGAATTAGCCTATCTGCATTTCCAATTGAGAAAACGGTATTTGCAATGAAAATATATCAATGTCTTGATGGGCGCACGTGCTAGGATAAGAATGTATTATTCAATTATTATTGAATGAATCACAATTATTATAGACTTATAAATCGAGAAAAAAAATTATGGAGGCTTAAATGATAAATTATGCCTTCCCAATACTGAGATTGGCTCGCCCAGTAGCGCTCTTAATTTTGTATCAGTACCCGTATGAAGCCTGTAATGGTGTATAACTACTGTAGGCCCCTTTTATGATACCAGTCATTGCGTATTTTTATCTCCTAATTTGTTTATAAAACCATGCACTATTGTCCGTACAATATGGTTGCTCTATCCATAGAGGAAATATATGCTCTATCGTCACTGATTTTATCAGCAAATCGTGCTTGTAATATTGAAAATCAGAGTTCCTATATATCGAGTCAAGTCAAAACACAATGAGCATAACTTTTTTCCCGAGACTTGTTTCATTCAAGTTCAAATTGTTACAATATGGAATTATACACTGCAGGCGCCAGTGACACTCCGGAATTAACCTTGGTCCTAAGGGGGTTTTGGGGAGTTTCCTTACCTCTTGCGGGGTAGGGAAGGTGTGGGTGAATCGTGTTTGACCGAACGCTTGACCATTTTAATCTGTTTAATCTAATAATTTCAGTCTTGGATAGTGATATTTTGGCTGCTGCTGGCTGATTCCCTTTGCACCCTTTGATCTGCTACTATAAATAAGCTCTTATCCTAGGCCCTGAGGCCCGCAGAGTAATTTAATTTGGCCCGCGAGAAAAAAACAATATAGTAAAAAAAAAAGATTTAAACACAAATTCAACGTTATAATCATTCGACTATGAAGACATTTTCAATAAACTAAAGGCAAAAACGCAACCCCTGGATGACTGGGTCATGTGCACTAACACTTTTACGGGAAAATCGCCTGGAGGTTCGAAAATACGCCACATTTATTCAGGTCGTAAGTATAGTATAGACCTGTACACAGACCTTCATGTGCATCCAAGTTTTGTCTCTCTGTTCTGTTTTGTTCACTATTTTTCGTCTATAGTTTTTGCGCTTAATTTTATATGGTTAATAAAAACTTGTACAATGCGGAAAATCTGATAGGTGTGTGATTAATATTTTACAATCGCCTTATTTGATTAATAGATAGATCAAACCATCAAACTGCTGCGTACGTTGCCATTTGGTCGTCTGCCAAACGATAGGCCTCGGTATGAGTCATTACTTGTTACACAAACATGCCTCAATGCTCCAATTCTGTTTTTAGTTGTATTTCGTGTTCTTGGAGCTCATGAATTGGAATTACTAATATTTTCTTCAGTCCTCATTTGAACGATAATTTCTCGGATTGTAATTTTGCAAAGCTCACAGTAATAGGGAGATATCGCAACCTTACGAAAACGATGACGAATACGTCATCATAATATCATCATTCGTGGATGGAAATATTCTTGACGAGCTCATTTGATCCTTAAACCATGCAAAAGGTATAAATTGTCTCGTTGTGAAAGATAATATGCTAACTGTAGGGGAAAGCAAGTCTAAAAATCTGATGACGAAATCGTTCGAAAGGTCCAGTCCACTGATTAATCTCAGATTAAAAAAAAGTATAATAGGCCTACATACCGTAGGCCTGGGCCCCTTGTTGTCCGAAGAACGACTAGCTCGTCGGGTCAAAGACAATAATAGTAAAAAAAATTCCTATCCAAGTAACATTATTTTGATTGCCAATCCATAATATTGTGGTCTGGAAGCACATTTTGGACCATAATAAGTAAACTCTCCCCGACAACACTACCAGGGATTTTTTTTTTTTATTCCGGGCCGTCGACCGAGGCTTCATCGGCTCCTTGGGTCGCGGACCCCTTCGTCGAACCCCTCGTTGGCAAATTTCTGGTGCCACCTCCCCCCCCCCCCCCGCCACCAAAAAAAGCTAGCTTCCAATGTGCCTCCCCACCTAGACTAGAAATTTCATTATAAATTACGCTCAGGTACTTAAAAATCACCTCATTTCACCTTATTTTTTCAGCGCGTCCCTTCCCAATTAGTCTTCGCGCTCTTACCATCCTGCTGATGTCAATATTTTTAGATACGCCACTGGGTAGTAACACCATTATAATACCAATTAATTTTCTTCATAGGTCTGCCAGGCTCCATATCCATGGCAATGTACTGTTTCTGGGGTAATGCAGCAACAGTTGTCTTTCAAAGGTTTGGACACATGGTTTCCGGATATCTTGGAGTACTACTCTGCTGCATCAGCCTACTGCTTTCATCATTTGCACAGCGTATAGAAGTCTTGTATCTGACGTACGGCGTCCTTTACGGATTCGGTTGTTCTTCCGTCTATTTTACGACAGTGGATAAAATATTATTATACTACAGAGGGCGCAATTCCACTCGTGCGTTAGGTATTGCTCTTTTAGGCTCTGGTATAGGTGAGAGCTTTTTTTTTTGTTTAAATTTTAATTGTCTATGAAATGATGATTACACATAAATAATTGAATAAGAACCTGTCTCGAATTAGCACCACTGCCGAGAAAGCACAGCACAGTCAAAACATTTTTTTTTTCGCTGATCCCCACTTTCGAACAAGCGCCTCTTTATAAGTTTTACAGAAGAAGTCACATTAAGTAGGCCTAGCCACTCAATTTTATTGAGTTCATGGAATGCTATGTTGTGATTCACTTTCTCTAAAGCTTTGTAAAAACCTGTTAATAACAGTGTACCAATTTCTTCGTTCTGCAGCAGGAACACGCTGGTAACATGTAAACGTGTGGCATGGTGGCCGAAGTTTCATTGTGGGTTCCAAATTCCCTGGTATCATATGATGAGGCTTTCATCAATTAACTTATTTTTGCAATGTTTGCTGATTGAGTTTAACAGATTGGGCCTTGTGAATTATCGATAGTGAAAGGCTTTTGTTTGGGCAAGGATATCATGCATCTTGAGCCTATTAATAATATCGGTAGCAGGTAGTTTTTAAAGTAGGCCTAAGTCTAAATGGATCTCACTGTAAAAACAACGGGAAGGATTTAAACGCAAAAACTCTACGCAATTTTGTCCTGTTTTTGGTGACACGTTTAAATGCTAATCGTGCTTAGGCCCGGCCTAATGTGATTGGATTTCTGATGTGTTTAATGTGCTTAGGTATTTGACATCATAATGCCAAATACCTAAGCACATTTAATTCTGATCATAAGCACATTAATCTATGTCTAATCACGTTTAGCTTAAACGTGTCACCAAAGACAGCAGGGGCAGATCCAAAAATGTCCAAAAGGGTGGGGACCGGAAGGGGGGTGCGAAAGTGGGGCCGATCGAGATAATACTACCCTAGGGGCCCGGGGGGATTATTTTTTCCCCATGCAGTTCCGGCAGAAATTTTAGAGGCGTTTTGGGCGATCAATTTTTTTCTCCTTCCTTCCTTCCTTCCTTCCTCGAAAGTATTTCTATTCTGTATATAGGGTCTGTGGTGGTACAAAGCTTAGTCCTACGTAAATGTATACCTAAATGAAGGAAATAGCTTTGAATTAATTCAAAGAATACTAAGCTGTTTCATGACCTGTTGGAAAAGATTTGGAAACAATCCTCTTGCCCTCTGGCAGTGAAGAGGATCAGAAAAGATGTAGATTGCGGTTGAGTACATGTTAAAAAAGTTATTAAGTTATTAAAAAAATGTTGACGCCAACAGAACAATCATCTGCACTACTTTCAGCGATGTGAGACTAAAACGTATTGATAAAGTATATTCACACAGCGTCCGTTCAAATCATGTACAAAATAGTTACACAGCTTTAAAGAACCAAACAATAACGTGCGTGTCGACATTACAATTGCTTTAGAAATATATCTTCAAAAGTTGAATTTTCTAGAGCATAGCACCATGGTACGAACTAGCCTATCTTTAGTACTAAATGTACAAAATGTGTAAATGAACAAAATAACCTTGAAGTAATTCAAAAGATACGAAGTGGGTCATGTCTTGTGTTGAAACAAAAATGATTTTGCAGTGAGGAAATTCATGATGTATATCAAAATATTATATCTGTCTCTTATACACATCTAGATGTGTATAAGAGACAGGTATAGAGTAGAAAAAAAAATGATATGTATTTTCTCCATATTAGTAGACTATCTACCTATAAAATCGATTAAATAAGCCTCTGAAACCCACAAATTGTCATTTTTTCGGGTGCTTCGCCCCTTGACCACTCTTGGGACATTTTGATCGACGCCCGACCACGCCCACATCGGGCCACCCCAGCATGGGCCACCCCAGCATAATCCCCCTAAAATTTTACCTTTCCCCTCACTCCCCCAACCCCCAAGATTTCAGACGCTGGCGCCGCCGTACAGAGCTTTAAAAGCTATGATCAGGGTTTTCAAGATGATTCTTTTATTGACTGGTTAGCTACCAGTACACTACCACCACATCCGCCCACAGTCGTCACTTTGCGTAAATAATTAAATCGGATTGTTTTCTTGCACAGGTGTACTTATGGCTCCGTGTCTAGAATGGTTGTACGCAAAATATACCTGGCGGACGGCTTTGAGAATCCTTAGTGTAATGTATTCCTTGTTCGGTTGTTTGGCTGTCTTTCCAAATGCAATCGAAGAGAAATGCGAAACCGAAACCAATGACATTAAAGTAGTTCCTCCACGATCCTTCTGCCAACGCTATTCAGATTTATGCAAGAGGAAAGACTACACAGTTATGTTACCAGCAAATATGATGGTTGGTGCAGCTTTGACGTTTTCGTATGTTAGTCTGGTATGTATAGATCTAATGACAGTTGTCTAAAAGCTAATGTGTTATATAATGTGTAATGTTGCTAGGGGATAGGATTATGCTGTATTTATATATGTCGGTAGGTGTTAACCAGTATTATACACTCAACAAAGTTGATGGTTTGTAAGAATTGTTACCTCCACCTCCAATATCAAGGTGAAAATTAAAAAGAAACAAATGTAAAATGCAAGATAGGAATAGGATATGTTATAATCACAGACACAGCAAAACATCAATTATAATAAACGCACAGTTCTCGTACCTGGAATTTATTCAAATATTTTAAATTTTGGTAAGCAATTCTTCTAGTCGTTTTTCATTATTTTTTAAGAAAATTTAAGAGCATTAGATTTATATCGAAGTGGAGGTGGATAGCTTGGTGGTTAAGATACTTGTAATCTTCCTTACTAGCAAAAATTAATTTCAATTCCAGGGTCCTGGTTCAATTCCTGTCTGTGTTGTAGGATTATTCTCAGAACAACTCCACTGCCAAACCTCATAACAAATTAATCTCATATTGAGATAAGGGATTGCCACCTAGGCCTACAAGTTGGACAGTGATATAGGCCTATTCGCTATTGACAATGCTTGGTACATGTGTTTTGTGCCTCAATAAAAAGGAAAAGAAAACTACCATACCACTGCTTTATAAATAAATCAGGTTTAATTTTTTAGAATTTAAACAAATTGCAATAGTAAGAATAGGCCTTACAACCTACTCCTCTGTAACATTCTATGATTCTTCACATATTTAGGTCTTGTCAGTAAAAAAGCATTATCGGCATTTAGAACAATCATGACCCTTTTAGCTCCATGCATAAAACCCCCGCGAAAACAATTTCATCTAGATATAGCCTAATCCTCTATTCGTGTCGTCTGCTAATGCCTAATCCAGGTTATTTCCTTGATACTAAAGCCTCATTTCAGTTTTCGTCTTCTTGGCATGGAATTTCCTAAAATTTATTTTCAGCCAAAAAATTAAATTAAATTACATGATGATGAATGTCGGTCGGTCATGGCTATACGAGTATTTTACTGTAAACATCGTTTGCAGAGTTATGACACGCCGCAAGTATCGAAATATAGGCTGGATGTAGAAGACGAACAGTAATCAATTGTGTCACGTCAAAAAACATTTCACTACCAGGCCACTTAAGGCACACATTACACCGCTCAGAAAGAAAAAAATGAGAGAGATCCAGAGGCCATGGAGACCGGCCGAAGTCACTAATAACCGCTAGACATACACTCTTGTTTCTTATCAATGAAATATTTTTTCTTCTATTATTAATTTCAGGGAAGTTATTTGAATGATGCTGGTATGGAAGAATCGTCAATTTCACTAGCATTAGGTCTGATGGGTTGTGGTGAACTTGTCGGTCGGCTTCTAATGTCTCTGTCCTCAGCTTACCTAAAACCGAGTCCAACGTTTCAGTATGGTTGTATCCATATTATTTCATCCATATCGTTGTTACCGTTGCTCTTTTCGAAGTCTTCGATTGGACTCACAGTTATATTATTCGGTAAGTAAATAATGTTTCTTCAAACCATCTCATGTGTTACTCTCCACGATCTCTCCTTTCCGTTCTAATACGATCGTCAAATGATTAACGCTGGTAAAGTTTTGTATAACAATTGAGATAAGTTAGGTAAGGTCTACCTTTTTAATATTATTATCCTATTAAAATTTGAAAAATCTTCGAGTAGAATAAAATTAGATCAAAACTATGGCAACACAAAATCAGAAAATGCACAAGCAACAACGAATGTACTGTAGCATACTGCCTAGACCATCTGGGACTATACTACAGACTGACATTTAAGACATTAGTACTAGTAGGCATATCAAACTACATAAAATACAAATTTCTGCACATAATACCCAACACATTTTTCGTTAAAAAAAGAAACAATACTGTATATATATTGAGAAATAAAATACACTACTATTAACATAAAATAGCTTGATAATTTAATGTTAATTTTATTTATATCACCTGTACTACTAGCATTTAGTATATCTCGAGGAATGATATTCGTTGTAATGGTACCTGCTGTTACTAATTTGTCGCCTGAAAACTCAAGTTCTGAGGCTATTGCGGTCGAGTTCTTTCTATACGGTATTGGTGCTGCAGTAGTTCCATATATAACAGGTGCGTAAGGGTTTTAATACTTATTTGGAATTTTTCTTTTTACATGACAACTAAATCGGGTTAAAATGTTCAAACATTTTTAAAACAGGGTTAAATTTTGTCATTGTATAAGTAGTCGCTCTTTGTGTTGTAGATATTGTACAAGACCTCGCTTCTGAGTAGAATAGAGAAGGCGCATATATTTCGCAAGTTCTAATGTTTTAAGTTTTATATACATTAATTACTTGTTTTAACAATTTTATGATTTGGTCTTTATGACTGTGTTAAAGTCAGGCACCGGAGGGAAAAAATTTTTTGATATGTTGTAGAACTGATTTTTCTGAGACAGAAAAAAGTTGTTTGACGAAAAACTGAGCAACGGTGAATGAGATACAGACTGTCTCTTATACACATCTAGATGTGTATAAGAGACAGTTAGGAAAAAGAAATATTAACCACATTTATTGCTAACAGTTTTTCTTGTATTGTATTCTCCAGATCAATTGTTTGTATTAAGCGGAAGTTACGACAGCGCACTCTATGTATGCGTAGGATTATTTCTATTTTCCGGGTTGATAACATTCGTTGCAAATCACATCAATAAGAAATTATATCATTTAAAACTATATTTACAAAGGTCAACGTACGAAAAAGTGGAAGTTCAAAAATTGGAAATGAAGAGAGCAGAAGCAATTTAATACGAGTTTGAAGGTGTTGAATCTCCAATTTCTGTACTAGTCTAAAATCGCATGTAACTGGCTTTTTAAAATATTAACCTGTGGATATATATTTGATCATTGGATGCTACCTGGATGATAACTAACAGATCTCCATTTACCTTTAAAGCCAACTTCTACGCTATGATCAAAGATAATACAATTAGGCCCGAGGATTCTGCAGTTTGGCAGACGGATTGTGATAGAGAAGATGGTCTTGGTAGAGACATATCAGCTGAAGATGTTTTCGAATATAAGGAAACTGAAATAGTAGTGTTACAGTTGAAAGGCTCTTGACTAAACAGAGAAAGTTAAATCAGCATAATTATGTTGTCGTGTATCATCACTGAAATATAAAGTGGTCCAAGTTACCAGAGATGCGAAGCATTATGAAAAACCATCGGAAATAATGTTAGCATTGCTGGTAATTTTAAATTACTTATTGATGAGTTTGTGAAGCTTGACAACAGTTCAAGCAACAATATTGTTTGTGAATTTGCTTAGAACTGGTATATCTTCAGAGTTTTCAAAATCTTACTTAATCTTGGTAAAGTGCAGAGATATGTGCAACATTATTGATAGAAATTATTGATAGAGTACGTGAAAACAAGTTTGGAAAATTAGATGTGCAATTTCGATTGTAAAATATAAAGTATTAATTAAAATTCTACGATTTTTCATTTTAAAATGAGTTATCACTATTATTGTCCTGGCTTTCGTGAACAATTTTTAACTTTCTTTAAAGTCTACACTCCATGATAATAAGAACATTAAGTGAGAGCGTGTTGTGCAGCGTGTAAAGTGTTGGGCTTCTGATCGTGAGATCGGGAGTTTCAGACCGGCGCTTGTCGCATTGCTTGTGTCCTTGGGCAAGGTTCTTTACTTACATTTGCCTCTCGGCACCCAGGAGTATAAATGGGTGACTGGTAGGATGATGTGGCATTGCATGTATTAGTCTGTTCAGCATTAAATTGCAGAGGGGTCCATGCCGGGAGTTTGATAGGGAGTTTAGACCATCTTAGGCCCACCATGGTTGGGGCTGATTTATGAAAATTCATGATTATGACACCTCTATAATGTCCTGAAATGGCACTCTCAGAGATAAATTTGATTATAAATTCCAGGGGGATTTTTTTCAATTTTTTTCGGCCCTCCCTTGAATCCGCTACTGTGATCTTCAACGCTTCAACACACACGCGCAATATCTATACACCTCAAGACGTTACCAACACAGGTATGTTTTTTATCATTTTTTTTTTTGTGTTGTTTATGAATTATATTTATATTATTAAATTGACTGCGGTATGAAATGTAATGATGAATATAATGTAGAACCCGTTGCATCGAACCGAAAATGAAATATAGACACGGGTATTTAGTTAATTATTATTTTTTAATCCTTATTGTGCATACTATACAAATTTGTTTCTTTTCCATACAAATTCAGAAACAAAACAAACTGTTACAGTTGTATTTCCATAGATATTGAGTTCCACAAAAAAGTGTTCCCAGTATAGGACTGGAAGTGTTGTAGTTACATTTAACTTGTATATTTTCTCTCTATTCGCGGCTAAGAATAGGTTGTGTGCTCTTAATAGTGTCTCCCCTTAATATGGGGTTTTCATATGAGGAACTCTACTGTAGTATTTCTAACGTATTACTTCAGTAGTTGTAGTCCAACATCAGCGCCCTCTAAGTTATCAAAAGTATTTTGTCAGATCCGATGCTTTTAGCATCAATTCTCAGGGTTTTCATTCTACATTCATCACAACCATGCCAGCATTCGATAGATGAAGTCCAATGTAATGCGTTACAATCGACGTCATTAACTGTATGAGTTTTTCGAAATGATATATGTGTTAACCTCTGTTTGGTATTTGATTCAACATAATACAAAATATGCAATAGCTCCAGCTGCTCTTATTATTTTTTGAATGTCTATTATTTTGTGTTTCAACTATTTAAAATAGAACTGCACGATTATATATATATATATATATATATATATATATATATATATATATATTATTACACATTGACTATTATAGGACTTTATTTGTTGAAAAGCTACAGGGTAGCCTACGATGTTCCATCATGTACTTATTTAAACACTGTATACGTACCTTTGACGATTTATATTATATTTATTCAACAGTGTTAACGGCGAACTCCCTTCAATATCATATATAATATACGACAGTATTTCTAGCCGTATTGCCAGATTTATCTGGCCGAACGCCCTCTTGAGGCGTAGCATTGTGTAATACAATGTTCCCAACGGTTATTTGGACCTGTTCAACCATGAAGCCTTCGTGGTCTAGTGGTTATGACGCTCGCCTT